GTTTCGTTGGGCAATGGGCGAACGCGACGAGGACTGGTCGTAGCCCGAAGCGTACATTATATGCGTGCGAGATTAGGGAGACCCGGTGAGAGGTTTGGGGTGCGAGAGCAAGAAAATTAAGAACGGACGTAAGAGTAGCACGTGGTCCAAGCTCGTAATGTCGTGAAATGAGCGGAAGGCGACCGTCGCAAACAGGTCCAGGTCGGATCGGAGGGATGAAAAGGGGTCGGCGTGAGCTCGAGCTTGCGTGGTCGAGGGTTGGCTGGTGATGGTAATAATCAGGGATGCCCGGCGGACCCAGCTCGACAGTCCCCTTTCGAGCCGCACTTTTAGGTGGGACGCGAACAACAGGCTAGCAGACGTCAGAGGGGTTCAATATCGCTAACACGCGACGGCGATGCGTAGGCTCGTGTTAAGGAAGGGAGGATGGCCGACGCTTGGAAGCAAAAGTTGACCTGTAACCCACTAACGGCGCGGGGAGACGGCTGCACACGTGCACTTGAACCCAAGAGGCCCGACTACACCAAAGCTGAGAGGTTTCAATATTATCTAGCAGAAGGGAACGCCTGGCCAGGTCAGGAGTTGGTGACTTGAGAGGCTTGATTGGCTGCCGCCACAAGACGCCAATCGTAAAAGCATCTCCCGCTGCGGGTGCTGCGACGTCGAGCACATGGTTCGTGTTTGTTATTAACTTGTGTATCGACTCCCAAGCTTATTCGCATCCTGACAAGACATGTCTCTCTAGGCAAACATCTGTGCTGAGCAAAGATATTTTAATCCGTCCACCCAGCCCAACACTTGCCACTACCCACTACTCATGATGCCCATGGCTACTCATGGGCCACATCACCGACCATCATGGGCGGGCCAGCCTCACAAAAGTGCGACAGAGGGATGGCCCGGCGTTCTGGAAGTCGCCAGGTGGCGGGCCGTAGCGTTAGCTCCCTGCCAGTAACGTGGAAACAGCACCAGCTATACTTTTTTATTCCAGCAGACTCTACTTAGTAGACGTTTATATCAACGACGTTGCGGCACCGCGAGTCTGCTGTTTTCATGAACTCCAGGCACTTGCTGCTCTGGCCAGAATCCTCCGAGACGCTCGGGGTGCATGATGAGCACACGCGACGTCGTCAGCTGCACCCTGCCACCGGTAATCTCCCCATGTACGGTTCATCGAGCTGCACCCCAGATGTGCACACTGGAATAAGGCTGCATATTATAGTCATTGTCAAAATACTTGTTGTTCATATTATATGCTGGTAGTCATAGGGCTTTGTATAATCCGTCCAACTCTGCTCAACACCTGCAGGCGCGACCAAACATGCTCCTGCGTCGTTGCACCACCTACTCACACATACGATGCACCTCATTTGACAAAGCTAAACATGGACTCGGCCATCTTAGACGATCACGAAGGCTTCCCGCTTTTATCAAGTTTCCGACTGGCTAAGCACAGCAGAAGTGGTTTGTAGGATCGCTTAGCCCGCATGCATAGGTGATCATGTGAATCCAGCCAGCTGGCTAGAGAACACTCTAGAGCGACTTGTCACCCTTCTGCTGACGATTACGCGACAAGCGAATGTCATGGTGGCTGTGCTGGCGAAGGAGCTCGCTTCTTGTGGCCTGTACCCACCTATACCACACCCTGAAGGTATACATTGTCATTTTCCTTGTCCAATGTACCGTGGAATAACGTGTATATCCCTAGAGTCGGTTTGGGCAAGGGTATAGCTCAGGATAACGTGCCTCTTCCCATGTCCATTGCATACCCCTTCAGTCCTCAAAGTCGAGCAGTCGCGAGAATTCAGTCTCACCAACGCGTCGGAACTCGGCACCTGCTGCAAACTGCCCGCTCGCCTCCCATGCTTGCATGGTCGCTTGGTCATAGGGGCCGTTGATCTCACCTTCTGGTGCATTGAGCCAGTGAAACTCCCATTGCACTGATTGCGGATTTGGATTCTTCCAATCTTCTCCCGTCTCGCGCTTGTATTGTCGCATGATGGATTCGCGGGGCAGCTCGTAGATGTCCTCGACGCCGCGATCGGACAGCCGACTTGCACATTCGGTTATAGAATCGATGACCTCTTTTGCCTTGATGGCTGCAGAGTCTTGCGACGGCTCCGAATCGACGTCCATAATCTGGCTCTTCTTCTTCTTAGTCCAGCTTTTGGCCGGCTTCTTCGGTGCTGCCTTGCCATATCGCACGAGAGCTTCCATAGGCGTCTCGCCAACGTCCAGATGTGCGATGAGAGCCGACAAGACGTCGCTGGTGACGATGGAGTCTTCAGCTCGTTCCCGGGCCTTTCGCTCCGCATCCAATTTTTCCTGCGCTTCCTTTGCCTTCTTGATGTCCTTCTTCGATATGCCGTCCAACCACGAGTCTTGAGCGGCTTCCGGGTCGAAGGCCTTGCGCACGAAATTTCCGGCCTCGTCAAATCGGCCCTCTTCTTGCTCGGCACTCATGTTGAAAGCATCTAGCTTGGGCGCATGCTTCTTCTTGCTGCCTGCACCGAGCTCCTCGTCCATGTCGGGATCGATCTGGTCGCGTAGCTCGTCATCGCCTTCATCGCTGCTGCTCTCTACGTCTTCGGTCCTGCTCTTCGGGCCTTTGGTGAAGTCGACAGCGACATGGCCTCCCGCCTTACTGTCCGCTTCCTGGCCCTCGATCTCGTGGTTGTCCAGGAATCGCAGCTTCTTCTTTTTTGTCTGGTCTCTCCGTGATTCCTCGTCCATCTCGTCATCCTTGTCCTCCTCTGCGAACATGTCGTCGTCATCGTCATCTTCGGTCTTTGTTGGCTCGTCTTTGTTGGCTCGGGCTTCTGCGCGCGCATCGAAGTTCTCCGTAGAGCTGTCCGAGTCGTAGCCGTCGATGTTGACCGCGTTTCGCTTGATACCCCCGCTTTTCCCTATAACGTCAGCTTCAAGGGCAGGGTCTTCATCATCGACTGCATCCGGAGCGAGCGTAGAGGGGTTGCGCGGGTCGAAGCGGGGTTTCTTGGTCGATGGTTCGTCGCCGTCCATGTGGTGGGTTCGCGTGAACTGTTCGCCAGCGCGCTTGGGCCGCGCGGGGTTGTGAGTCCCACTAGAGCTGGCCATGGTGATAATGAACGTGATTTGAGGTTGAGGTATGCAGAAAAGTGAAACCAGGCAAACAGGCAGTGACGTCTTCACGAAACGCGATTATCTGAAGCTCGGGCCAGGTCGCGCTGATCCGAGTTTAGCGGCACTGGCATCAACGGCCTGCTGTACCTGCGACCATGGTTCGTCATCTCCAAGGCCTCTCATCGAATACATATCACTTCCACCACCCGCTTGCCGTTTCTTCCTGACGCCAGACCTGACTAACACAATCTACTACCCTCTGTTTTCTTGCCGCTCCTTTCATACGCAAAAATGGTAAGAGCGACTCCACCACCTTCTCTATCTCAACTCACCACGTACAGTTCAACCCAAACTTTTACGACCAAGACGATCCCATGGCCATGTATCAGTCTTTAGCCACTCGCCGCGGCGGCGCTCCTAGGCGTTTTGACGAGTACTTCCGATGCTATCCCATCGTCATGCTGCCTGGCCCTGAGCGCCACGAGGCAAACCACGGCGGCAAAGTGTTCCTCCCTCCCAGCGCTCTCGACAAGCTCACCAGGCTGCACATCTCATATCCTATGATCTTCGAGCTCATAAACGGCAAGGCAGACGGGAAGAAGTCACATGCAGGTGTATTGGAGTTCATAGCGGAAGAGGGCAAGATCTACCTGCCATACTGGCTCATGGAGACGCTCCAACTGGAACCTGGCGACCTGCTACAAGTAAAATCGACAGATATACCGCTCGGCTCCTTCATCAAGCTACAACCCCAAGACTCTTCCTTCCTTGAAATCTCCGATCCCAAAGCCGTTCTCGAGAATGCATTCCGGAACTTCTCTTGCCTCACTGTAGGCGACATATTCACCTTCTCGTACAACGACAACGTATACAGTATAGCCGTATTGGAAGCCAAGCCAGAGCACTCAAGTAAGGCTGTCTGCACCATCGAGACCGATCTATCAGTCGACTTCGCTCCACCAGTAGGCTACCAAGAGCCGCAGAGAACGAGTGGCACAAGCACACCGCGCAGCGTCATGGCCGGCAAGGGCGGCACGCTTCACGCCCACGGCACCATGGCAGAGGCAATCAACTACGCCGCCATTGCCCCATCGTCCACAACTGCCGCAAATGGAGCCAAAGCCACCTCCTCGAATTTCCTCACCACCGGCCACAAGCTGCTCAAGAAAGGCAGCAAGGCGCCTACACCCCAAGCCTCCACACCCGTCGCAGGACAATCATCGAACCCGCCTCCTACGGTACGGCGTACCAACGGCCCGCAGCCGCTCAGGCTACCGCCTAACAAACTGTTCTTCGGGTACGAGATCAAGCCGCTCAAGGGCAAGGAGGAGGAAGGCGAGCAGAAGGAATCGAAACACTTTGAGGGTGCCGGGCAGTCGCTGCGCAAGAAGAAGGGTGATAAATGAGGCAGATACCCAGAGTGATGATGGGCGATTCGGAAGCTCCAGAGAGTAGCATTGTATGGCGCAGATAAAGGATACTGAGATCATATGGCGTAGGGCGTTTGATACCTATGATGAGAGCTATAAACGGAACTAATACAGCTCATTTTGTACTTGTTCTCTGTTCTGTTTTGTTACCGATTTCACTAGTCGTGATGCAAATGCTAATGTCAGTTCGGACAGGTACTCCCAACACGCCAAGAAAGTGATATCAATCGCCATGAATTTATTTATTTGTATCTTGTCGGAACGAAGGTATTGCTCGCTGCACCTTTTGTGCAATCAGCCCTGCACCAAATTCTTTGGAACAGGGCTGAGAGACGAATACTTCTAGGAGAAGACGTCACTTCACCATTCCGAATGTTCCACTACAGTCCGGAAATGTAAACATGTCCCGCACCGCATGAAAGACAGATCAGTCATCGAAGGAGAGAGGGAAAAAAGATGGGGGGGGGTCTAAACCACCTCCTCAACCGGCTCCTCCTTGACACGCTTAGCCATGGGAATATAGTCTTTTTCAACCTCAACATCTTCCTCGGCATCTTCCTCAACACTATCCTTGTCCACGTTCTTCTCCTTGACCTCAGCTTTCGGTTTCCTACCTCTCGGCTTCTTGCTCGGTGTCTTTACCTCCCCGCTACCATCTCCAAATCCGTCATCGAGACCACCGCCTGCCTTCCTCTTAGGCGTGCCTGTTTTGGGAGTGCTGTTCTTAGAAGCCTTCTTCGCACTGTGTCCCGCACCGCCTTCGGGGAGTTCCCAGGAGAGCTCGAGGTACAGGTCGCGTTGTTTGACGCGGAGGGCGGAGATGCGGTTGCGGATGCTGCCAGTTGAGGTTCCTGGGAAGAAAGAATTAGCTTGAGAGCTTGAGGATTGGGGCTTGGCGGAAGGTCACAGAATGGATGGGCTGGGGAGTCAGAAGGGGAAGTTGGAAAGAAAGTGGTTAGAGAGGTAGGACGTGGTTGGGGGAGGGGCTCACCAGGGAATGCAGAAGATAACTGAGGATACTCGTCTGGCTTGACCCAGCGGCCTTGCGTTAGAAGGAGGAGCTATAACAGCTTGTCAATCATCATGTTATGGTTGGTTGGACGTATCGCTGGAAATTAGAGGTTACCTTCGCGTGGTTGGGACCTTCCCATTTGAAGGGCTAGGGCGATTATTAGTTCATGGTCGAGAAAGGTTGGAGAAGATAGACGTACACCGCCAGCATCGCCAACATCGCCGTTGGCGACAGATTTCTTGGGCGGCATGGTGATTGTTGGGTCTTACAACTGTGGAATGTTGAAAAAGGTTGGTCTGTTTGGCTCAAATGATATACGAGTAAGAGAGAAAAAGAGCAGTGGATAGAGTGTTTTGAGAGACAGACAAATTGAATGGTTATATATCTCTCATGGAAAACGTGGAGGGCAGCAGGTGCAAAGAGCCTGGATAGAGGAGAGGTGAGAGTGGTATCTTGATTTGGGTCGGTTGGGCACGGTCACCTTCACCTTGCAGTTTACAAGAGAGGAGGGAAACACGGCATGATGACATTGAGAAGTGACATTCCAGTGCAGTTATATTTTGCAGGTGATGCAAGCGTTCGATACCCTCAATCTGTCATATATTCGGTGCATTCCCATCTCAGATGTTGTCATCATGAAAGTTCATCAGCGGCCATGAGACGCCTCCAAAGTTCTCCCTTGATGATGGTGTACAGATTCCCTAGCTAGCATCCTCAGCTGCCTCTCTTTGGACACCTTCGTCTTCCATCTCTCCACCATCAGCCATATCCTCGATTTTGATCTCCTTCTTGGCATTCTCTTTCTTAGGCTTGCGAGCGCGCGGCTTCTTGGTGGGGGATTCAGCCTCAGCATCACCGCCCTCATCGCTCTTCTCAGTGGCAACAGCACGCTTCTTTGGGGACTTGGTGGGAGTCTTCACAGGAGCTTTGGTAGCGGTGCCATCAGGTAGAGCCCATCCAAGCTCCTCCATACGTGCACGCTGCTCCTTGCGAAATTTGGATATACGCTGACGAACGCCGTTGTAATTAGCACCGGCTATTATAGGTCAGTGAATGTTCCAAAATCAACGATAGATAGGTAACAAACTCACGCGGCAGAGCTTCGACGATCTTGTGGTAGTCTTCGGTGGTGAGTTGGCGCTCGATGATCAAGATGAAGAGCTAATGTTTCTGTCAGTATGCTATATCAGGGCAGGTTGAACGGGCGACTTACTGCACGCTCGTTTTCTGGTGTCCAGCGAAATGCCCATAGATACATTAGTCCTGGAGAGTATGCTTGTACAACTGTCTGTACTTACGCCGTCACCAGCAGCCTCAGCACTTTCGTCTGCAACGACCTTCTTCTTGGGGGGCATCTCATTTGCCGTGACCGAATTGACTTGATAGTGTTCCTGGCGAAATCCCTTTCAGAAATTGCGTGCCAATTGTTGAGTTTGAGGGTTTGCGCTGAAGAGGTAAGTTTGATATCAGAAGAATTCAGGAAAGTGGCAGCAGGATAAGATTCCAGCACACGAGGGTAGGTGAGGGTGAGTTGCTGGACAACACAATCATGCCGACCGATCAGGCACAAAAGCGCCTTCACCGTACGTTCAGTGGGAGAGCGCTACCGCGGAAACATCCTGATAGTTAAAACACTGTTACAAGAGCATAGTAGCTGCACATACACAAAAGGATGCACAAAGTTCGTCAAGTGATGCAGCCGCCCTTCCAGTGTACCCCTTCAAACGCGTGCGTCACTACTACGGTCAAAAAGAAATCCCCTCATCTCGCCCATGCTGTCACCTCACCACAGTAAAACCAAGGAAAACATCGACGCTGCAGTTTGGTCGAAGTATCATGGCGTATTCTACATATCGCGGCGGTCTTCATCCAGCCCTGACCGATAAATTCAGCCAACGAAGCGATGCATACTTACGCATGATGAGTGCCACACAAGATGTCAAAACTACCTCTGAATAAGGAGCTAAAACATCTAGACATGCTAGAACGAACGTGCGTACGGCGCCATTGCCAGTCGTGTCTCAAGGTAGTCACAATAGTCGTGGAAGTGCCTATGAGAACGCCAGTGTCGATGCGTCTTACGGCAAGGATAGAGTCCCTAAAACTACCAAAGCACCTATCGATGATTTCGCTGACAAGTAAGGAGAGAGCATGCGATCACAACAAACACAATGAAGATTACGATATTGTAAATCAGTAGAGGAATGAGAGCATCATGTTCTTAACAACACACAAGAGGGTATTAGGGATGAGTAGATACGGACATACGACACTAGAAGCTCAGACAGCAATCGAGACAATAGACAAGTCGTGGCAATCGTGGCGTCTGTACTGCCAAGATGGTATTAAGATATATACATTAGAATACCTCACACAACATTCATCAGCAATCCATCTACGCCGCACATTGTCCCGGCCCACCAAAGCCACCTGGATTCGACCCAACAGCCCCAACAAAAAGCGCACCATTACCCTTTCCATTCGGACATAGTTCGCTTGGTGCGCCTAGTCCTGATTTCGGGACCGAGTACATGCAGTAATTTGCGTTTGTGTATGCCCACCACTGAGTGCAGCCATCCGGATCGCTGAAGCAAGCGAGGCAGCACTCGGTGGCAGTTTTACCGCTTGGACCAGTCTTCAACGTACCGGGCTGGACAGCCTGGATGCCGTATACGTCAGCTGTTTGCTGTGGGCAGAGTGTCTGGGTGGTCGTGCTGGTGATGGTTGTAGTAACCGTAGTCGTAGCTGTGGAAGTTTCCTGTTCAATGTTAGTTAATCATACCTCATGAAAAACTTGAGGGTGTACGTACAGTGACAATAGGTGTTACAGTAGTAGAATCTGTGAGAGTGAGCGTCATAGAGATGACCGCCGTCACGGTCTTGGCTGTGGGCGTAACGCTGACGGTGGTGGTAGCTGTCGCGCGGGCGGCGGTTGCAGTTTGAGTTTGCGTCCTTGTCACTGTCGTCGTCTTACATACGGACACGGTCTTTGCTGGAGGTGCAGGCCAGACCTTGGTGCATGCTGGACAGATCAGATTGTTCGCTACGCCCTTGAGCCAGGATGGCGGGTTGACGTGACGGGCCTTGAGAGTTGGAGCACTGGGAAAGTTCAAGGTAGTTGACTGGGTGAGAACCGTGGTGGCTGCTGAAGTGATGGTGATCTAGAGAGTATTGTTAGGCTGAGAACGTCAGCGGATGAAGTGCTGGAAGCTTACGGTTTGAACATCTGAGACGGTGGTAGGCGCATCGGTCACAGTCGTCGTTGCTGTCTCCGAGATGGTGGTCGTCTGCACTACCGTGGAATCTGCTGGCGCTTGGCCAGTCGCTGTTAGAGTAACAGTGGCTGGTGCGGGAACCACCGAGCTTGTGACAGTCACAACCTTTGTGAAAGTCTTCAAGTTGGTCTGCGTAACCGGCTTCTGTGGCTGATATGCTGGGCAGAAGCCTTTGCAGAAGCCATACCCATTGTGGTTTCTCAAGAGCTTCGCAACCACATCTTGGTTCACTTGGTCTAATGCAATAGTCAGCTATGGACTTAGCAGGCATGAAACTTGACTCACAGGTGCGCTTCTCAAGGGTACTTTCTCCGTGCTCGTCAACGTGCTCGACAACCACCTTGTTCGTCTCCGGGTCCTTGTAGGCAATCTCGAATGGGCCGGTGCCCTTCAGTTCTGGGAAGACCTCAAGTGCATGTGCTTCCTCGGCGACAACGTTCTTGGTGATAAGGGCCGCAACGGCGAACAGTACACTGGTGGGCTTGAAGTGAACCATGGCTACAGCTAATCAAGGATAAAGCTGAAGTGAAGAGCGGCGGTCAACAGCAGGGAACTGACAGGTTAAGTATGTGGTACCCCCTGAAGGCTCTTCGACCATCGTGAGCATTATCACTACATATGCCATCCCTAAACGGCAAGCCACCAGCGCACACGTAGTGCCAGCCTTGCAGAATTGCAGTTTGAACCAGCCAGAGTCGTCAATCGACGCCGTGGCTTGAAAATGCCAGCTGAGGAAAGCCAAAACGAGACTTTTGGACTCGCGTCTGGATGCCAATCCCCCAGGCACGGTGTTTGTAGGTAGGGGTGCCTAGTGCAATGTCTTGTTGTAGATCGTGGGGGAGAATGTCGGCCTCGCGTAAGCTAGCCTCTTTCGGTGCAGCCTAGTTGGTGTGGCTTGCATCTGGACGCATTGCTTAACTGTATCTTGATGATGGCTTCAAGTCGCCTAACTGTATTTTGATGACAATTTCCACTTCGAGTACAGCCTTGCTGTAGGCTGTGACCCTGTGCTCACGTGGCAGAGACTTGTCAAGACGATTCACAGGGGAGAGACACTGCCTGGCCAATGAGCGCATCGTGTCACTCCGCTCTTGCAGCCTTGTTGTTGGCCCAGCCTTGCGGCGACGCCGATCTGTAAATCATCAGACTGGGGTTATTATCTATTGATGTGGGATGCAGCGCTTCTACGTGCCGCCTGGTAGCTGCGGTGGGCTAGGCATGTCTACGAATGAACGACAAGTCTACAGTGCAAAATATCACCCACTGTGTTTGCGCTCAGATGTTGAAAGCGGTACAGGAGGTGTTGGGTGATACTGAGTCGTCTGCAACATTAAAGCCAGGCGTTTAGGACGGAAATCACGTTGGCAGAAACAAAAAATAAATACGTGACGAAAAAAACACTTGCTTGTCCCCACTTACCGAGAACAGTTCATACGTCAAAACTCCATGACATATCTATTCCTCTATTCAAAAGCGTGACGAAAATTTTATACACATTACATGCTAAACGCCTCTCTACACAGTTTTTTTTCTCTCCCACAACTCGCCCATAACATCACGACGACTTACATCCTCATATTCTCCTGTATAACCTTATACTCCTTCCTCTTCTTCTGCATCCCCTGCCCACCAAACTTGACTTTAGCAACCCCAATCCACTTGCTCAACCCAGGGAACAACATATTCTCACCCAGATACGCCATGGCAAAGTTACCCAGTCCCAACGCCATGATGAAAACCTTGAACGGCGTGTCCAAGTAGGTAAGTTCCATAGCACTCATAACCCACGCCGCGGGATCAAACAGCATATACAGCGTGATAGCCAGAGTAACAAAAATCGTCGTGACAAACGGCAAGTTGCGCGACATGGGTTCGCGATACGGTTTGCCCACGCTGAGAACGACAGCAGAAAAAATGTATTGGAAACAAGATGTCAGGAACAGCGCCGTGTTTTGCGAGTTGAGCGAGTTGCTGTGGTTCTTGTCAATGACGGGCGGCATGTACCATTCCTGCTTCTGCACAAAGTGGAAAGCGAGGTACTGGACTAGTATGCACAACACCATTTGACCAAGCAGTGGCGTAAGCACCTTTCTGCTCACGAGATTCGCGGTAGGGCGTTTGCGGGATAAGACGGGGTAGGCGCCGGACCAGCCCATGAAGATGGCAATGGGCAGAATGAGAAGCAGGTCGATGAAGAGGAATTGGAAGTCGCCGAGGTTGGATGCACTCGCGTACAAAAAACTGACTGAGCAAAACTGTATGGCGGAGTAGAGAGACATATACTTGAAGCAGCTGAAACTGGTAACAAGCGCCGCACGTCCTTCCTTGATAACTTGAGGCACACAGCTGATGTCGAATTGTCGGGAAGTAAAAGGCGCGGCGACCGAGGCTTCGGCTTCCGACAACGAGATACCTACGTCTGCTGCTTTGAGCGCACCACAGTCATTCGCACCGTCACCGCAGAAACCAACACAGTAGTCTATGCTCTGTAGTTTCTCAACCAGTTCGTGCTTTTCGTCTGGGCTCATGCGGGCGAAAACTTGGCCGCAGACAAGCATCTCCCTAAGCGTAGATTCCGAGGCGAAATCCACAATCCAGCGGAAGACGTCGCCGGAGACGGCCAGACTGTAGTTACGGAGGTTGGAGATATCGTAGGGAAGAGATACGTCGGCCTCTGGTGGCGGTGGTAGGGGCTTCAGCGTGTTGTCGTCGAGCTTAAAGACAGGGTCATCTACACTTTCCCAGCTGAGCTTCGACAATGCTGTTCGAGAGTCACCCTCTTCAAAGTGCGGGACGAAGCAGTGCGCCGTTTTGTTGATGAGGCCGCACTCGCGAGCTACGCTGATGGCAGTGAGGATGTTGTCACCAGTGCACATGACCTTACGGATGTTGGCGCGTTCGAGTTCTTCGATGACAGGAGCGGTGCTGTCTTTGAGCTTGTTCTCGAAGATGATGAAACCGACAAAGTCCAAGTTGCTCTCTGCTTCTTCACGCTTCATCTTCTGTGTCTTGAGCCAGTTGAGTTTGGGGATCGTCTTTGTTGCACAGGCAATAACACGGAATCCACGGTGGGTGTAGAAAGCTAGAAGCTCCTCGTAATCAGTAGGAAAACTTCCAGGTCGGCAAATCTCCTTCATGACTTCGGGCGCGCCCTTGACGTACACCTGTCCGCTCTTGGAACCAAATTGTCGGACGATAACACTAGCTCTTCGTAGCTGGGAGACGAATTCAAATGCTTTCAGTACACCAAGTTCGACCTGCTTCCTGTTGGCCTCGTCTTCAACATCGTCGACGTCGTACTCTCGGCCTGGTGGTGGTCGAGCGACAGATGGCGACAGCTTCTGCTCATCGTCATCACTACCGTTGCCGGCCTTCTGTTCTCCCTCCTCATAGCTCCAGCCGGTAAAATCGAACATTTTGACGTCGAGTGGATCACCTACTAGCTCATCATCGATCTTACGAAGTGAGTGACAGGTAGCCATGGTGTATAGGATAGTCTTGTGTGCCAGGTATTCTACGGTTGGGTCGCGGTCGTGCTGGGATGCGGGGAGGATATCATAGGCGTCTGGAAGGAGCTCGCTGAACCTGTTCCTGGGTCGCTCGACTACGCGAACTCCCAAAACATCGAGACCCTCCTCGGTGAGCGTTCCAGTCTTGTCGAAGCAAACTACATCCAGCTTACCACCCACGTTGACTCGCTGCGGACTGATACAGAAGATCTGCTTCTGCTTTAAGCGCGACAGGGCGAAGCTAGTACCAATGGTGAGCGTGGCCGGCAGTGCAGGAGGGACGACAATGGTGATGAGATCGAGAGCTCGCACAACGATCAAGTGCCATGCGAGACCCAGATGTACAAAGTTGATGAAAGATGCGACGAAGCCAATCATGGCAATAAACGCCATGACGGAGATGTATCGGAAGGAGTCGCGGTAGAACTTGAAACCTGAGGGCTTGGGGAAGAGCATAGATCGGACCAACGCACCCTTGGTGGTGTTGAAACCAGTGCGCACAACCATGGCCAATGCAGCAGCCTCATCATCAACATGGTCTTCATGTGGTCTGCGAGCTCTGATGATCTTGGTTCCACTGAACAGCATGTGTCGCGCAACCTCTGGGTGAACAGCCGATGCGCTGAGGTCAAGCAGATCCAGCGCGTGGTTGGACATGGGAATCTTGGAAACAGGAATCGACTCGCCAGTCAGCATACTCTCATTGACGATGCAGTCTCCAGAGAGCAACAGACTGTCGCAGGGGAACAAGGCAAGCGAAGGGTCGGTGACTTCGTAGACATCTCCGGGTACAAGCTCCGCAGAGTCGACGTGAGTCCAGAAGCCGCTGCGTAGTACACGGACTTCGCATTCGAACTTTGAAACTTCACGTAGCCGCTTCATGGAAGCCTTTGTCTCGACGAGCGTGGTGACGATACTGACTGCCGAGATGATGAAAATGGCACAAGCATAGTAGTAGTACTCGTCCATGGACCAGAGGATCAGACTGGCAATCTGAAAGACGTAGAAAGGATGGAAGACCTCATCAACCAAAAGCTGACCGATGGTCTTCTCAGCGATATCGATCAGGTTTTTTCCAAAGACAAGTTCGCGGTAGTCGCGTTCGTCATTGTCAAGACCCTCGCGCAGAGCTGAGACTTGGGTCCAGGTGGGATCCTTCCAGGTGTTTGCGAGCACGAACTTGTCCTTAATGGGGTGGTATACGAAGCGAATATAGCGGTAGTCCAAGCATCTCAGCTCGCCAATAAGCGGATCATCTTCCTCATCCCATTCCCTCGGGCGTCCCTTTTCAGGGTCGCCGAATACAGTTGATAGCGAGCGTCCGTAGATCTGCTTGCTGACGCTCTGTACCGCAAACTCTCCCCATTGATTTTCGGTGACAATCCAGTCGCACTCCTTAAGCGGTGTTGTCTTTCCGATTATGGCGACCCTCCATCGTGGCAGCCATCTGAACAGAAGCCAGCCGAGGCCCAGAGTCGCCATGCAAAGGAGCGCATACAGCGCATAGCCGAAGGGAGATGTCTTGAAGCCGGCGATGACGATGGTAAGATCCTCGGTCATGATGTAGATCTTCTGGTTGGACCTGCGCCCTCTCCAGTCGATGCCTGAGCCTGTGCTGCCCGCTGAGGATTTCCTTCGCAGTAACGGCCTCTCAGAGGACTTCCTGCTGCTACTCGATTTCCGTCGCGATGGCGTTGGTGATTGCGATGAGTGGGACGATGTGCCGGCCTCGAGGTCTTCCAATTCCGACACGGTATAACCATTGTTGTACGTGCTCTCTCCATCCTCCAAGATTGCGCTATCCTCATCCTCACCCTCTGAATCCTGCTCTTCATCGTAGAATGCGAAACTCGTCAAACTCGCGCTCGAGTCGGCGCGCGACCGTCGGTGGCGGAAGCCGGATACGCTCGTGGGGACGCTTTCGCTCATGGGACCGGAGAAGACCTGGATTTTTGGCGTCAGCTGCTGGCCAGGCTTCCTTCCACGAGGGTTGTAGGCAGGGCGGGAAGGAGGAGGAAGAGGCATGGGCCCGAGTTCGTATACCTCATCTTGGGCCATCTCGACATCTTCCATGAAGCTTGCCCTGGTGTCGCCATTAGTCGCGCCTTGGAGCTGAGCTGGCCGTGTCACACGTACTCGCTCAGGTGGGAGCCACGGCGGTACATGGCGCTCATTCGGCGCGGTCGCCGCCTCTCGGGGCTTTCGTTGTCTGCCATGGCGACTTTTGTGGTTTTTGGTCGTTGGCTATCGGGCCATGGTACGGAGTTGGGACACACGAAGATTTCCTGTCGCGTCGGCTCGGGCGAGCCAGCGAGATAGGCCGTGCGGTGTATGACGTTGGAGCTAGTCAGGGATCTGCAGCCGTTCCTGGTGCTTGCATCCGGCCTAACACCAGCAGCAATGGAGAACAACTCCAGGCATACGGCTGTCGCACTCCATAAAGTGCATACGATGAGATCCCAGCTAACAATGGAACAGTCAGAAGTTGCTAACCGCATTGTCATACCGCCTCAGGACTGCTTACTGCGCTTCGATGATTGGCTCCGCGACACCGTTCGCTCAGCCTCACTGCATGCACATCGTTCATCAACAAGTTTGTTGTAGCCTGTTCATCTATTCTTCATATTACATATCTATCTCTCGTGCTCTTTTCTTTATCTCTCTCTCTACGATGCCTCAATTCCATGGCTAGTTCCAATGACTACAGCGTTCGCAAACATGCCTATGAAGCACTAGAGAGTTCGCGACACATCAGGCTCATCATACTACACCCAGCCTCGTCTACAGATGTACCTCTAAAACTCACTTTCAAACAAGCTAGACTGTCGGAACTGCAAGGTCGCTACGAAGCCATATCATACACATGGGGCCAGCCAACCCTGGCATATCCTCTTCACGTGAGCGATGGCACACACGTACTAGTCACAGAGAATCTCGATCGCGCATTGCGATATCTGCGCCGTAGTCACAAAGACCGGGCCCTGTGGGCGGACGCTGCATGTATCAACCAAGCCGACGATGTGGAGAAAGGAACACAGATTGCGCTCATGGTGAACATTTTCCGGGGCGCCGGGACAGTTCTGGCCTGGCTCGACCCAGGTTCTGCCGTCTATCGGTGGCCGAACCTAGAGTCAACCTTGGAAAAGATGGATAACGTGTCTCGTACAACCTGGGAAAATCTTCGTTCTGGTTGTCGTGTGGAAACGGAAGGGGATGGAGGAGTTCACAATGCCCCGCTTTCGAAACATTCCCGGGAAGTAGTTGGGCTCCTTAGTCTGCCTTGGTTCAATAGGCTTTGGATCGTACAGGAGGTTGTTTTTAACCAGGAAGTCCGTCTGATTTACGGAGGTGTCGAGCTTTCCTGGGCTCGATTCGTGGCTGCCATGTCGATCCTCTCGACCTTGGACAGCAAGAGGCAACCTAGTGCTGATTTGAGTTTCCGGAGCGCCGCCATGAAGATAATACAGCTGTGGAGGCATCATTCGCTATTTGCAGAATTGCAAGAAGAGCACGGGAAGCCCCGAGTCAACTCATCAACCCACCATACCGATATCGCCAGGCTGGTGGACGACTTTGCTTTACATAGTTGTACCGATCCTCGTGATCGAATTTTCGCCCTATATAGCATGGCATCCAACCTACGCCCATGCACTGCGGCTTCGAGTGATCACGACGTTCTCATGAATATCGACTATTCATTGGATCTTCGGCAAACATATGAAGCATTTGCACTCGCTTGCATCAGGGCTGGAAAGTTGACCAAGATCATAGAAGCTGTGCTCTCCCGTCAGCACTCCCCCAGGCCAGATGGTTGGATGTCATGGGTGCCCGACTGGCGTGTGAAATGGCCGAAGCCTGTTCACCTGCCACAACCAGTAAGATTCCATCGATCTTTCAAACTTGGGGAATCGCCTCCAGACGTCATTTGTATAAGAATATCTGTGTTTGGACATTTTCTGGGCACGCATGACACCGCCAATCCTACCATACTAGTGAAAGCTACTGGAGAGACGTTGTTCCAACAAATTCTTGACTTTGATAAAAAGTCCCGCGGGCCGGATGGTGAACGAGGCTTTAGACGTCTGTTCGATATGCTAGATTGTAGGCTAGACCCGGACGACGTCACTACGCTAGAACAAAGCTTGTTGTACATGGCGAGCCAGACGGAGAACACCAGTTTGCAATCTGGCCCAAGCTCAAACTCCATGGAACTTAATGATATTGTACTAGACGTAAAGAGGATTATCGGAGAGACCAACAGCCTTTTTTATTTCGAAATACCTGGCACCAGAAGGCGCTCGGTAGGTTATGGCAATGCGCAACTTGAGGCTGGAGATCAACTCATTCCGCTCAATGCTCGAATTGCTGAGGACGAACGCGTACAAGGAATGCTCAAGATGGTACTCATACTCCGAAGTGCTGGTACGATCAACACGCAACGCGGCCCGAAAACTATATACCGCCTCATCGGCAGTGGCTATGTCTACGATATACCCGACGAGTATCTTGCTACTTCCTCAAATGACAAAGCCTTTGGTGATTGCTTCCGAGGATTATATCTGGTTTGAGCAGCACCTGGCTTTGACTTGTTCCTATCCGGCATACTCTCGTGATGATGTGGAATTCGTTGAGTCGCGCATTTGGTTTGGATAGTATTAGCATAAGCACGGCAAACATGTGAGAGATCTGCGAGCGCTAGAGTATATAAAAACGACCTTGTGAAACTATGAGAATATCGCAGCTTTGACTGACGGGAAAAGAACCAAGCACTGTGTCTCTCTGATCTGCACCATTTTATTTTTTTTTGCTCTGCGCTTCCAATATCATGTTATGTCTTGATATGAGTGTAATCGGCCAAAGTACGAGCTTCAACGAAAGTTGCAGAGGCGTGTAATATCGGGCGAAAATTACTGAGAGTCTCTAGAGTGAGTGTCGCGAGCGATACACTCGATGTGACATGTTCTATCGAACGATGCGGAGGAGCGAAGACACGTTTGCGTTGATCACCTTGCCAAATCCGACTGACCCCTGCCTTCCCAAACAACTGCACTATTTCTCTCTGTTCTAGCATCCCGCGTTCCTCCATGTCGCTTCTATAGAACCTGATTCTTGTAAACAAAACCAACCAACAGTTGATACGTCAAAAATCAAGAAGTTCATCTTCCCCATTGAAATACGTCGTATATATATTGTCGTGCACCACTTCAAACACGTTCCTGAGCATGCCAGCGGAGAACTTGAACCATCCATTCCATTGTGTTCCCCCCGTGCCATCCCTGTATTTCGCAGTGAGCGCCACCGGCTTCTTCATCTTCGTATAGTCCCCATCCAGCAGCTTAGCAAATGTGTAGTAATCGTCATCTGCATCAAAGCTCTCTAATACCTCGTCATCGATGACCATACACCATTCATATTTTGGACCAAACAGACCTTCTTCGTTCCATGCGTCCTGGTAGCCAGGCTCATACAGCCTCTCAGATTCGAGTATCCGAGCATGGTGTGTGCGGAAATGAGTGCATACCTCGGAGAGCGACGCGTTAGGAATGATAGCTGCAGGGACAAGACGCAGGGAATCTACTATGCGTTGATTGTATTTTACGGCGTAAGAGTCGCGCAGGTCTTCGGTTGCGAGGTCGTGGAATTTGTCTAGTAGGGTTTGGAAATAAGTGTTGTCGTCAACCACTTATACAGCGCATTAGTCACTCTCGTAATACTGTAGAGGAGGAGCATACCCGCTGTTTTGTCCGAGGAGCTGTTTTGATCAGAATCGGCCTCTTTTTGCTCTTGTGGGCGCGTATAGGTGGCGTAGACGTAGAAGCCCCATGTTGGGTCACGCCCGTGTTCAACAAAATCGGCCAAAAACCTCTTACATGCTCTCTTTTCATCGACATGTAGTCCCATAGTGGATTCTTTTGAGTTGCATCTGGTGTAATCGTTATTGAAGGTTAAGGGTTGAGAGTGCACCAGGATCACCCTGTCTTCAGCCCATGTCGACGCTTTGTAATCTTGTACGAATGGGGTCACTTCATGTTAGAATAGACACAGTAGTAAATAAGTACAACCAGCCAAACTACGAGCTTTGGAAAATAAAGCACAATATCGAGCGAACATGAGTACGAGTATCTAGAGAGAATCTCACGAGTGACGCACTCAATGTGACGCGTGCGACTACCTAGGTAGTTGATACGGATCAGTGAAGACGCGTTCGTGTTGATCCCTCGCCAAAGCCTGCCGACCCCTGCCTACCCACAAAACCACACCACGTCTTCCTACCCCAGCATCACACACATTTCCATCTCTCTTCTGCCGCCATTAGCTTCTCAGACCGAAGCTGCAGACCCGTTGCCAGGTATTCCGCGCCTCCACATGAGAGACGCTACGTATCCCCTTGGCACAGAAGCGGGGCAGCACGACTCGGAGCCGTCGGCTCCGCTTTTGGGAAGTCCAGAGTCGAGATCGCGCTTCTGATACAACTGGCATCACGTTGCTTGCCCACGAAGCCTTGATCGAATTGGACAGAGGCCAGATCAGATGGTGTGAGGAGAACTCGTGTCAGGGCAGATCCAAGTTTTAGCTTCTCCACACTTCACTACGCGTGTAGATCACAGTTTAACACCAGGTCCCTTCTGGCATCTCGACTGGGGTCAGCGCGGGGCTATATCACGATTCCTAGTTTGCTGTACAAAACGAGTAGCGATGTATTTACGCTAAGCAGCATCATTGGCCCTTGGGGGTCGGCAGAGAGGATGAATGCACTGTGGGGATGGTATTGGGTCAACCAAGGCAGATCAAGAACGTGAGAAAGCAGTGCAAGTATAAGCACTTCCAAAAATGGAGATATAGTCTGACCAACTTGAGAGGTACCTGCGGTGCCGATGAGCGGCTCCCTCATCCTCTTTCGTCAACACTTCATCCACTTCCGGTCCGCCGCTGAGAAAACATGTGCGGAGCTTTGGAGAAGGTTAAATATGGTCGCTAGCTCTATAAAGATACCTTGTATTCACTCCCCAAACAAAGCAACTCCCATCCGAGGATTCGGTGTTTCTTCTCTTGGCTCAACCACTTCCGTCAGTCCAGCTCAGACCCAGGAACAGCAGCAAAGCCCACCATGAAAGCGCTCATCTACAATGGAGTCGGAAAGTGCGAGCTCGTAGACAAGGAGATTCCCCGGCTGAGCGGTGGCCTTGATGCCCTGGTGAAGGTGCAGCGAACTACCATCTGCGGCTCCGACCTTCACATCCTGAAAGGCGACGTCCCGACATGCACACCAGGAAGAACTTTAGGCCACGAAGGTATCGGCGTAATCGAGGAGATCGGGCAAGAAGTTAAGAATTTCAAAAAGGGCGACCGGGTGCTGATTCGATGTATCACGTGTTGTGGTACCTGTCAGTTCTGCAAGAAAAGGTAAGCAATACTCAAACCATTGCTGCCAAAGTCTTTTTGAACTTTCTGACTTTGCTTTCTTTTCCCTTTAGCATGGCCGACTGCTGCGTGAAAGCGGGTTGGATTCTCGGTCACACGGTTGATGGCAGTCAAGCTGAATATGTTCGCATAAAGTATGCTGATACCTCGCTATACCATGTGCCCAACAACGTAGATGAGCGCACATTACTCCTATTCAGCGACATCCTACCCACAGGCCTAGAAGTCGGCGTCTTGCGCGGAAAAGTACAGCCGGGCTGTACCGTCGCAATAGTAGGAGCCGGACCCGTCGGTCTCGCAGCTGGCCTGACTGCGCAACTGTACACACCCCGCAAGCTAGTCTTCTTCGACATGGACGACTACCGTCTCTCCGTCGCCAAGAAAATGGGCGCCACGCATGTCTACAATGTCAAGGATATAAAAGGCACAGTCCGCGACCTTGCAGCAGAGCACATCGACGAGGCCGATGGTTTTGATGTCGTCATGGAGGCTGTTGGCATTCCCGCGACGTTCAACATGTGCGAAGATCTTGTTGCAAAGGGTGGGCATATTGCGAATATGGGCGTGCATGGGAAGAGTGTGGACTTGCACATTGAGCGACTGTGGGCGAGGAGCACGACAATCAGTATGGCGCTGGTGTCAGCACACACAATTCCAACATTGCTGAACTTGTTTGCTGCCGGTAAGATTGATGCGAGCGCCATGGTCACACACGGTATGCATGCCCATTCCTCCCCCTCCCCATATACGATCTCTAGGATGTACGTATGTGCTGACAGCTCACCTACGCAGACTTCAAGTTCAGTGACATTGAGAAAGCCTACGACCATTTTGGACGGGCGGCTGAGACTAAGTCTTTGAAAGTGAGCATCGAGTTCGACCCTCCTGGTGCGAAAGCGGGAGCCGAGAGGCGCGGGCAAAGATTGTAATGGTCCACTCTTTCATTCCTACGTAGAACCAGTCGGCACAGAACCTCCCTTAGCGCACTTCAACGTCCATTGTTTTGCATGCATCTCAAATGCTCCCCTCGAATTCGCATATTCATTAGCAATTTTGACTTCCACCGCGCTCTCCAACTCAGGGTGATCAAGTAGCGTCCTTAGGCTCATCAACACCTTCTCCATGGTATGATTATGATGCCAGTCTTCTCCCAGCATCTTCCAGCTAACAACCCCCGTTCTGCCATCAACATTGGGATGGTAGATTTTAGTTGTGAAATTTACTTTTGGCGGCTTCTCTGGGTAGTCATCGGTGAACTGGATGTGGAAGGCGAAAGTACCGCCTTCGTAAGGAGAGTTGTCAAGGCCATGGAGGGTGCCGATCCATTCGAAGATATCGCCGTGTTTGAGGTCGACGTGGTAGCCCTCTGCGGGACTTTTGCGCAGGCTTTGGAACTCTTTCTCGAGGCGTTTTTTGGTAGGTGTCATGATAGCGAAGCGAACTTTGAGAGAAGTAAGTTGAAGTGAGAAAACAAAAAAACAATCCTGAATTGATGCGACGCGTTATCGCGCGACTCAAGGGAAAGGAGTGTTGAGGTTGGTCGCGCGTTTTGGCATACGTCATGGTGCATCTACTACCACGCATTAGTCCGCGACTTCGAACCTTACTATAGCCACGATTCATAAACTGCACTATTGGAAAGTGGATCTTATCACAGCGCCCGAGTCGGAACGGGAACGAGAACGAAGACGCATCACTTTACGCCTCGACTAAGTCAGCCACCTTCGCAGCCAGTTCCACAAATCCTCTGATGACATACGCATCAGAGTTGTGATGGTATGTGAAAGTCGGCCGAATATATTAGCTCTTGTGGTAGACCTCAAATGTCCCATTATGCAAACCCTTCTGCAGTTGTCTTCATCGTCGGAATCAAACGGCTGAGATTTGAGAAGCCGCGAGGGGAACATGGTACTTCGAAAAATGGCGCAGGATGTACATTACAGGAGTAAAGTCCGAGATGTGATTGTTCATATATCGTCTGGGATGTAACATGTACAGTTAAACAACGAGAAATCGCTTACCATATGCTAACAACCTGCGACCGGCAGGGTATCCCGTCATGCCGACTAATTTCCAGGTCTGTTGTAATCGTTAGCGTTGTTAAAGTTGGTTGTACGTCTATCTATGAATTTTAGCAATAAAACTGAGAAGCTTTCGATCTCTAAATAATATGGTAGGCGAGACAATGATTTGGCGACTTTCACCAAACTTTCTCTCTGGACTATGCGGATCGAATTTCCTAGCGAGGTGTCGATGGTGATGCGAAAGATTCGAGAGGCATGTTGTTTGTGCGTTATGGTACTTCGGACTGGGAGAAACAACATCAGAACACGTCCTGGTGACATGATTAATATCAGGAATCAAAGATATTTGTATCAGAAAGAAGTAGGTTTGAGAAATACACATCTGCGATGCCTCCACAGCTGCTGCATAAAGTTATTAGTCCCTCTGTAGAGTAGTCGAAGATCAAACAGCAGAGCTCAGCGGGTATAATGCGAGACCTTCCTTCGCTTGCTTGGAACTTGCGCATCACCATCCGCGTTCGCCATATCATCACAAATCCACAGATCGCAGACCGGTACATCATCATCTGATAAGTACAAATGCTGGCGGAGGAATTCAGGCGGTGTCTCTTGAACAAGAACGGAATCTTGATCATGCTCTTCAAACTGCTGCCGATGGGGATAAATATCAATCGGTGTCTCGCTTACCAGAACGCAGTCGTGTCCGGGAGGCGGCGGGAGATGTTCGTAGTATCCTTGCTGTGAGTAGTCGCTCATAACCCCGTTCAAGCTCTTTTCGGAGCCATCACTGTCATCATCTGCATCTTCAGTGAAATGATACATACCTCGTTCGTCGTTAGATGAGGCCTGTACTTGACTGGCGAACTGAGCTGCCTCATGGTCTTGCATGATCGATGGTAACGGAGTTTTTTCACGCCATCGTTGAGCCGACTGGAACATCCTATGCGTATCTTGAGACTGACATAAAGGGAAGTGTTGCGAGTTGATGCCTGGACTCTGAACACCGCCGATGAAATCAGCTGCAATGCGGTTATATAGCGACTTGGGGATAATCTCGACAAGATCAAGGTTCTTCTCTCTGGGTTCCCAATCTGTAGTCGCGTTCGTATACAGCTTATCAAAGTCTTCAGCATACGATGAGAACCACTCGTGCGCGAGAGCCTCCGATGCTGTCATACGCTCTCCCTCTTTGAGGACGAGCAGACCTTTGATGAAGTCCTTTGGATGATAGCCGATATTGGCCCACAACGGGTGATGAGGGTCGTCCAGGTTACTAAGGTCACAGATAGCTGCGAGACCCAAGATCACCCCGCGAGGGTTAGCGTCGTACTCCGGGTGTCTGCGGTCACTGAACATCAAGTCGCCGGTAAGTACAGTAGCCGTAATTGAACCGATAGACCACATATCGACAGCTTTTGAGTAGCCATAATCGACTGGGATTGCCTTGTTAAGTCGGTGTATCTCAGGCGCCGTGTACTCCAAGGTACCAACGTAAGAGAACATTCGGTGATACTTGTTGTTTTGTGGCGGATTTTGGCTATTTTTTCCGGGCAGGAATCTAGCACTGCCGAAATCGGTAATGACAACGCGAGCACCATCTTCAAGAGATGACATGAGTATGTTATCTGGTTTCAGGTCCCGGTGTACGATGTCCTGGTCGTGGAGATACTCCGTTCCCTTCAAGACCTGGTAGATAATAAACGCAGCATGTAGACCATCAATCCGGCCGTCCTTGAACTCGATAAAGGAAAAGAGATCACCCCCCGTGACGAGCTCTTCAAAGATGTAAATGGTGTTGTTACTCCGGAAAACCTTTTCGATGGCGATGATGTTGGGATGGCCAAGGTCTTTGAGAATATCGAACTCGCGAAAGCAATTGGTAACTCGTTTTGGCAGTTGTCTTCTCTCCGATTCCTGCAAGTTTGACATTGCCAATGTGTCGTACATTCTGTCCAGTCGGATCATCTTGCATGCAAGTTGCCGCTGTGTCTCTTGGTTGATACCCACCAGTACCTTGCCGTAACCGCCCTCACCAAGCAAACGCCCAGTAAGGAGGTAGCGCGATGCAAATGTTTGTCTTTCTCGCTCCTGAATGGCGGTCAACTTGACAAGCTCTGCCGGTGCGTTCGAGTAGTAGACTAAAGTGACGGTGCCTGAGATACGTATCTCATCCCCGTCTTCTAAGAGGAAGGTGCTCTTGGGACCCATTAAAATGCCTGCATCTTGCGATGCCGCGTATTCTGAGTTACTCTTTCGGAGGTAGGTACCATTTGCAGAGAGATCGGTCGCGTAAACGAACGGGGCGATCTTAGCAATTAGGTCCTGCTCATATAGAATGCAATGGATGCGCAGGTGCTTCCTTGAAATAGTGAGGTCGTCGCTCCACGAGTAGCGACTGACAGTAGGATTAGAACAAGATCATATCAAGCTTAGGATACAGCGCTCACCAGAGCTCTGGATCCCTCCCAAGATAGAACTGCTCGTTCCCACATACTTCGATCATGCCTCCGTGCGTTCCTGCATACATTAGTTTGCTGATCATGATTCGAAAATCACTAACTCACCATGTGCACTCTCGCCCGCGACCTGAACATGTAGCCTTGCGACTGCCTCGCCCGCCATCTTACAACGCTACCCCGCAGGAAATAACGCTGCTTCGGAATGATGTCGGTGAATGAATGAGGTTTGACGTAAGGCAGGTGACGCGGCGCGTGAACTCCTCTTGGCACCTGTTCCAGGGCTGGGCGCTAAGCCGTTCTAGCTAAGCGAGCCCCGCACCCACCTAGGTATTTCGACCAGCTCGGCTCCTACCTTTGTTCTACACTCACGACACTCATCTCGACAGCAATGTAAGTTATATCCAGCCAGCCATGGCGGCGCTCGCGACACTCAATTGAGCGCAATGACTGCTCTTTGAGTGTACCTGCACTCGCCATCAACTCCAGACTTCTCAATTGCACAGCCGCTGACCTCATACCACAGCCCGCCGACAAGATGAGAGCCAAATGGAGGAAGAAGCGCGTTCGACGTCTCAAGCGCAAGAGAAGAAAGACTAGGGCTCGTTCGTAAGTTCTCACCACATCACCACCAGTGTCGTCCGAATCTAACAAATGTTCCCAGCAAATAAACGTCTCGCCCCTCAATCTCAGCTATTCCAACCTCAGTTCTGAACGATCACGATCACTAAACGACACGTTTTCTACGCACGACCTTCCGACCAGCTCGCAACTTATTTGACTACATTGCGCAATCCAACCTTCAGGTTACGTCATACGGCGGATTGCGGCACGCGAGCTTTCAACTACTACTTCGGAGGGTGACGACTGTGCTGGACTGGGGAACGTTATGGAATGCTGGTCAATCGCCTGAATGGCACATTGGGTTCTCACGGGAGTTTATCTGAACACTGATTACGACGGTCACTCTAACACCGGCGAGCCCTCCTCTTGCGGAGGCTTGCCTTTGACTGATGCGTCGCCATGTGGACATGCGATAACGGAATCAAAAATGCTTCACGACAATATTGCTCCTTCTGTGTGTGATCTTGATGTGACAATTCGTGAAAATGGTGCAATGTGCGCGACCTGAGTCTTGGCCGACAGGGATGCTGGGGATGTGATGCTCTCCTTGAAATAATTGTGATGCGACTTATCGATAACCAATCTTCATACCGCTGGTCGGGAAAGATTCGATTTGAGGGTTACGCGCGATTTCTCACTATGTATGATCAAGAGAGATATCTCTGCGAGGATTGGTTTGGCAAAAACCTCATTACTACACTATACTACCACGCGAAGGAAAGAAAAATGCCTGATATGTCGTGTCGAGAGATCTGCAGTCACCACGACCACAATGAAGTAAACCATCTTCTCACAGCCAAGCAGGCGCATTTTACCTTGCATCAA